TGTTCAAACCCACAAGGTGATGTGTGATTCTTCCATCACTGAGAATTTAATTTGGATCCAGAATGGACATGTTTTAGAAAACATTAGTCATAATATTAGTCATTATAAAGGCATTATAAATAAATTCTATCTTAGAGCCCGCACAGGGCTTCAGCATTATTGAAAGGCAAACATACTGTAGTGTCCTATAAGTTCAAGAAATGGGCTTTGGAGGCAGGTATGCCCAGTGTATTATAATAACTATTTTAATGAGCTTGTCTACTAATTCTGCCATTTATGTTATGTCTGGATCTGTTTCTCTTCATTGATTTTTCTCCTCATTTATGGTCATATTTCCTTGTTTGCATGCCTGGTAAGTTTGGCTTGGATGTCAGCCACTGTGATGTTTACCTTGTTGGGTGCTGAATATTTTCATATTTCTTTAGATATTCTTGAGCTTTGCCCTGGGATGCAGTTAAGTTGCTTAGAAACAATTTGATCTTTTCGAGCTTTGCTTTCTAAGCTTTGTTGGGTAGAATTAAAACAGTTTGTAGTGTAGAACTAATTTTCTCCCACTATTGAGGTAATACCCTCTGAGTACTCAGCACCATACCCTCTGTACGAGAAGATTTTCTACTCCGCCTGGTGCAACCATGAACTGTTCCCAGCCCTGTGTTGGTCCTGGGAGATTGTTCCACCTGCTCCTTGCTGGTGGTTCCTTCCCCTAACCTCAGCTCTTTCTATTTCTTCCCTCCATCACTCTACCCCCGAGGCACTCGCCTCCTTGCTGTTTCCTTAACAGGCCAGGATGCTCCTACCTTGGGGTCTTTGATATTTTCTCTTCCTGGAAAGCTCTTTCCCAGATAGCCACATGACTAACTTCCTTTCCTCCTTCTGGGTTGAATTTTTCTGGTATTTATTCAAATGCCACCTTCTCAGAAGCCACCCTATTTAAGGGTTCAGCTCCCTGCCCCGACATTTGCTTTTCTCCGAATGGGACACCACTGGAGGTTTTTGAGGAGGAGAATATTGTTTGGGAAAATAACTGTGACAGTAATGTAAAGAAGAATCTGAAGAGGCAAAATGATGGGAGGCAGGACCTGTTAGAAGGGTCGACTCCCATTTACACCTCAACCTCACTTATGCTCCCATCCCAGCCATGGAAGCTGCTCTTGTTAAAATCACAAGTAACTTCAGAGTTGCCAAATCCGAGGAATGCTTCACCTTACTTGACATGAGCAGTATCAGGTGCAACTGATCACTCCTTGCAACATTTACGTCTCTTAGCTTTCATGGGCTTCTGGTGTTTCCTTCACCTCATACTACACTACCCTACCCCACCACCAGTTTCCTCCATTATTAATATCTTGCATGGGGGTGGCACATTAGTTGCAATAGATGAGCCAATGTTGACGGTTTGTTGTTGTTGTTGTTGTTGTTGTTGTTGTTTGAGATGAGGTTTTGCCCTTGTTTCCCAGGCTGGAGTGCTATGGCACAATTGGCTCACCACAACCTCTGCCTCCCAGGTTCAAGCTATTCTCCTGCCTCAGACTCCCGAGTAGGTGGTATCACAGGCATGTGCCACCATACCTGGCTAAAAATTTTGTATTTTTAGTAGAGATGGGGTTTCTCCATGTTGATCAGGCTGTCTCGAATTCCTGACCTCAGCCTCCGAAAGTGTTGGGATTACAGGTGTGAGCCCCTGTGCCTGTCCAAGTGCATTCTTATTAACTAAAGTCCTAACATAAACATTAGGGCTCTGTCTTTGTGTTGTACATTCTATAGGTTTTGCCTAATACATTATGTCATATATCCACCATTATAGTGTCACACATAATACTTTCACTGCTCTAAAAATGCCCTCTGCCCCACCTATTCATCCCTCCCTTTCCCTCCCAATCCCTGGAAACCACTAATCTTTTTTGTGTCTCTAGTTTTGCCTTTTCCAGAGTGTCGTACAGTTGGAATCAGTAGTAGGTATTTAATAAAGACTTCTTTAGTGAATGAATAACTGATTGTCATTGTAACCATTCGTAGGAGCTCTAGTGAGGCTGAAGAGAAGGATACAGATGGGTGAGACAGACAGGAGGTAGGACTGACAGGGTGTGATTGGCCATGAGTGATACAGGAGTAGCTCAAGTTGCTCCCTTGTATTACAGTCCAGGTGCCCTGGAGAAGAGAATAGACAGATAGACATCGGCATGATGTCCTGAAACAACTTCCTCTTATGCAGGTCATGGAGGAAGAACTGCAGGTGCAAGCTCTCATCCTAGAGTCCCTTAACACAGACCTCCACTATACCCAGTTGGAACTCCAGAAAGAGGTGAGTCCCTGCTGGAGTGGGGGTGGGGGTTGGGGGAAGAACCCAGGTCTCCGCATAGCTCTGCCACATAGCTCTGCCCTGGATGCCTCTGGGTTGGGAAAGATACTATTAAAATGTATGTCTTTCAGAAAGCTACAGTGGGAAATCTGGAGAAAATGCTTCGGACCAAGCTTGCTGAAGCTGAAGAAAAGTTTAAGTACACCATACAGATCCTGACGGAAGAGAACATTCATCTGAAGTGCGGCTGCTGCTGAAACAGACATGGCTGAGTTCTCCTTAGGAGTGGGAAGGAGTTTGAGTGAGAAATGGGTTAGGAAGATAGGACAGGTGCTCCCTAATAATGTCAAGGCATGGGCATTTTCTGGGAGGGAGGTATGTCACTCTAAGCCCGTGACACAAAGCCAGACAATTCACTTGAGGTGGAGTGGTGATGTGTCTAGACTTCTCCCATTCACCTGTGTCCTTGTTTCTATGCAAAACAACACAGGAAACACAACACAGGCAATGTATCTGCCTGTTTCTGATTTACTCTGTTCTATGATTGAGGGTGGTTTTTAAATCCATCTCCCCTGATAGTTTGGTAGTCTTACCATTACATGCAGCTGCTTCTGGTTCCTATGGAAATCCACTTTGGATCAGGTGTACTGTTACTTAAGCTGCATCTTAAATTATTCAAATAAATTTTGGTCAGTTTTTTAATACAGGAAAGTTATTTATTGCATTGATTCAGTAGAAAATTCCTCATATAGAACTTTAGTCACCTAAACACCCTACCTCGCTAAATTCAAAACCATTGCAAGTAATGAGTGAGAGACTGCCATGGTAAAGGAATGAAGGCACATTTCTCTCCCCACCCCTCAAATATCCTATATCTTTTCTAGCTTTTGAGTTTATATTGATACATCTTTCCTTTCTTTTTACAGGCAAAAGATAATGTCTAAGAATGAAGAAATTTATGAAGGATGTTCTTGGAGATTGGCCTCTGTTACTGTTTCTAAGGATGATTCTGACACCATGAAGATGGTAACAAGAAAGGACAAGAATCATAAACAAAACGTTGCTCTCCAGGGTTGAAGATGGTAGGCACACCGTTTCTATAGGCCTGGGGAACTCCTGTGAGGGTTTCTTGAGAAAATGCATGTAATGAGTTTAGTACTTGGGTTGCTCTGATTCTATTTTTGCTTTCTTCTGAGTGATGGAAAATGTTTGAATTCTCATCTGAATTTCACAGCTTATCATGAACACTTCATTGAAAAATGACGCTCTCTGTACCGGGAGCTGAGCTTTCTCTGAGTTTTGTACTATTTTTCTTCCATCCTTACATATTTCATTAGAAAGAAACTGATTTGAAGGCCTTCTTCCTATTGAACTTTTATTGTATTTGGGGCTGTACCTTTGTCCCCTGGGGCATTTAGGTCACAAAAAAAGATTATGTGTTGATTTTATTCTAAAACCTTTTTCTCTCATACCCATGCACCCTACTTCCCTACCTCTCAATCATGTTCCCTAGCCTACGACTTAGGAGGAGTTTCTGATGATTCTTAGCACCTTCTCTGGACCATCACCGGAATTCAGACACCCACAGGGCAGGCAACATAAGTAAGTGAAGTAGGCTAGACATAAGGAAAACAATTGCACAAGCACAGTGATCAGTGGCAACCCACAGCAGCCTCAGTAGAGGAGCTTGGGCAAGGCTGGGCGCAGGAGGTGGAGAAGAGTGACCCACAGAGGGCTGTCCCATCTGAAGAAGGTGCTTCTCAGACCTTTGCCATGGAAGAGCATGAGGTCAATATTGTCAGATATTCTGATTTTTTTAAAGAAGGTATTCTGGGTTTTATGTGATAACTCCTAATTTTTAAACATTGACAACCTCAATGTGTGCCAGTAGTGGGAGACTCAAGTAGAACATGTGTGTGGTCCAGAGGTTTTCCACCTGTGAGATGCCATTGGCAAAAACCAAAACCAAACACAAAAAATCTCCGAGGAGCAGTAAGATCAAATTATACTTTATTCTATTTAAAAATGTTTTTGAAAAAAAGATTTTTAACTTTTAAAGATAACTTAATTCCTAACAATTTAAAATAATCCAAGCAGAGATATTTTCTTTTTCTTTTTTGTCTTTTATTTTCCAAGCAGAGATGAAAGAGCAAATGCAAAGGCAAATGCATGAAGAGACCAGAGCATTGTTAGCAAAAAGCAAATATAGTTAGACAAGCATACGCACATCACAAAAGGAACAAGAAGTCAAAAGTTAATTTGGGGAGAGATTATTTAAAACTTATAAAATAATTTGAATTTTTAAAAGATGCTAATCAAATTTTGTTTATTTTTTTAAAAAAATTTTTATGAGATGGGATCATGTTCTATCACCCAAGCTTGAGTACAGTGGTGAAAACATGGCTTACTGCAGCTTTGATCTCTAAGGCTCAAGTGATCCTCCCACCTCACCCTCCCAAAGTGCTGGGATTACACTTTATGTGTATTTTTTTAAATTTTAGTGTTGGAGAGTTAAAATGGAAAAAGAATTAAAGTTAATAGAATATTAACAGTGGGCTTAATGTTGATAGATAACAATTTTAACTATCAGCCCTCTATATTCATAGCTGGATTTTGCTGGCTTCTGGTATGTATTGCCACCAGCTAAAACATTCTCAAAGCCTTAGGTAAAAGAGAAAGGAGACAGTGTTATTGTTGTTAATATCCTATTAACTTTAGCTCTTAAAAAAAGTGCGAAACAATAAATTACATGGAAAATCAGTAAATAAACATAGTGTTATATATCTAAATAGCACCATCAATCAGAAGAGAAAACAAGTTTTTTTCTTAGTGTGAAAGTAGGCTGCGGCATCTGCTTGCCCATGTTTTTCTTATCGTCTTTGTTGCTGACTTCATAGTTCACTTCAGTCAGGATGGTGAGAATATCATCGCCTCTGAAATACATCACATAACATTGTGACTATCTGTGGGGGAAAAGCAACTGATGAACTATTTCCTCTGCTGTGCTCAGAAATAGTTCTGTAGTTTTTTCTCTCAAAATATCAGTTATTTGATACAGTAAGTTGCTAAACCAAGACCTGCCCCAGCTTCACAGGTAAATGAGTTATCTCAGAGCTTAATAACTTCCTTCGGTTTATTCAGGAACTCTGTTGACCATCAGAAACCTCGGTGTCAGTATTAGAGTTGGTTTCTTTCTCTCCTGACCTGTGTGTATCTCACTCTTCTCCATGTTACTTGGCTCCCACAATTGCTTCAGTGCCCCCCAATATTCTCTGCCTCAAATTGACATTGCATCTGTGGATTCATCTTTGATGCAATTAACCTTAAGTCAACTGAAAGTAGAATGTCTCCTGCAGCAACTCCCAACTTCTCACCAGGATCTCTTAGCGTTTTAGTTTGGGCAACCTCTTCTTCTACCTTGGTAGCTAGCCCCAGAAACCTTGCAGGATTCATGATCTAAGTTACAAAATCTAAGTTAGGTTCATGATCTGAGTTATGGGAAATTCTCACTCTTCATATACTCAAAACACGAAATACAGGGCTAGAAGGAATGAGCTACTTATCTCCCACAATGAACAAAGAGGTTTTGAGAACGGTTTGCTATTACAGAACTTTTGACAGAGTTGGAGGGTGTTAAACATTGAAGTGGGTGACTGCCTTCTTGGAAGATTCCCAAAACCAGTTGAATTGGCTCAGTCGTGTTTTGGCCTAAAGACAGAGAGCTGGACTATATGACTATCATCCTTTCCTGCTCTGTGTACCCTGATTGTCCTTTGAGGTACTGAATAAAGGAATAAAGCACCTCAGCGTGTCCATCTATAAACTAAGGATGTTAGCAATTGCCACTCTCTCCCTTTGCAACCGACCTGGGAAGTACACCTATGTGATCCACAGCTAGACATTTGGAGATGAATGGAAACCACTCCCCTTGGACAGTTCTCTGATCTGTTAATGTTATCTGAACCATAAAGCATCTTCTAATAGGCTCTGAATATGAGTAGATAGTAGTGGTGATGGAATAGGTGGGGGAAGGTAGCATAACAGTGAGGAGGGCTGGGTAGGCAAAACTTACCGAGGACATCGTTCTTTCAGGCTCTGGCAAAGTGACTGGATATACCAGGTTCCCTCCACAGGGTTTCGGTAGGAAACACAGTTATTCACAGTGGCCATCCCCAGTAGAAAGTCAGCCTCATCTGGGATATATCTTTTCTGAGGTGATGATAAGTCCATTTCTAAATAGGGTTGCTCCTCTGAATCAGTCTCAACAGGTATACCTTTCTGGTAGTTATCCCCCTGACAAGCCTGAATAAAAAACACTTTTGGTTTTCCAGCAAGGGAAGGGCACTTCAAACCAGTGAACTGAGATGTCAGCTCATATATGGGGGCCTCGTGTCCATCAGTGCCGTAGATGATGCCCTTGTCTCCATGGGAGAGGATACAGCAGATGAAGCAGTCCTTGTTACTGTGGTCCATGCGTTGGTAGGATTGCAAAATCTCATAGATTTCCTCTCTTGTGCAGTCATTGTAGGGCCTGATCTCAAAATGAAGCTCCTTAAAGGTCTTGCTCAAAGCCTCTAAAAAGTGAAATTTGAAAAGACATGCTATACCACAGTAATTCACAGACCAGAGCTGGAGAGTACATTTTGAACCAGAAATTCAAGAGCAAAATCCTCTATATTAGTAGCTGGATTCTGTAGGCTTCTAATATTTATTGGCACCAGCTAAAAACATTCTCAAAACCAGGGCAAATGAGAAAGGAGAGAGTGTTACTGTTGGTCTGTTTTCTCTACTAAACTAGTTTACAGGACGGGTAGGCTATCATTTAGGGTTCCTACTGAACTATTTTAAATGACTCTATTATTTGTATAATCAGAAAAAACAACCTTGGAATAAAAGATCCAACTTATTTATCACTCAACCTTCTCAAAGTTATTTATATTTAGCAAAATAAAAGCTATACATTGAAAATAAAATAGAACTAAAAGACCTTTTACAAAAAGTTATCCCCTCTCTGTCCCTCCCTATTACCTAGTCATATTCCATGAAGGCAACCACTTTCAATTTTTAACCACTTTTTTTTTCCACATTAACCTCCATTTTGTAATAAATTTGGGTACCCTGCAAATTTTAAAATTTACAAATTTTACAAATTTTAAACTTTTTACAAATTTACAACATTTACAAATTTTAAACTTTTGCACTGAGTTCTTATCATGGAGAATAAGCACTTGCTGCTCCTGCACAGCTATTTACAATCTTTGGTTGAATCCATAGTAATATTTTAATTTTCTATTTTTTTAGACAAGGTCTCACTCTGTCACCGAGGCTGGAGTGCAGTGGCATAATCTCAGCTCACTGCAACCTCTACCACCTGGGTTCAAGCAATTCTCCTGCCTCAGCCTTCTGAGTAGCTGGGACTACAGGCACGTGCCACCACACCCTGCTAATTTTTGTATTTTCAGTAGAGATGGGGTTCTGCCATGTTGGCCAGGCTGGTCCTAACTCCTAGCCTTAAGTGATCTGCCCACATTGGCCTCAAAAAGTGCTGGGATTGTAGGCACAAGCCACCACCTCTACCCCGTAGTAATATTTCTATTTTAAGTAATATTTCTATTATTAAGACTATGTAAACATAATGCTCTTTGATCATGTTTCCTTTCTTATTAACCTTTTTGCCTTTCCTGGAATTAGTAATTGTCTTATTTTTTCATCTGCTTTGTTTCCTATATGCTTAACATTATTTTTTCTCCAAATGCTCTAATGGATCTGGTCAAAATCTTTCAACATTTTCAGGCTACTTGTCTGACTCATTTTTATTTCTTCCTGGAAAACTTCCCATCCAGAGCACTGCATCATTCTGCTGTAATACCAACTGGCTGCTCCATAGGCCAGATGAATGTCTCTTCTCCTGGGACATCTCTCTGTCGCTTCCATAGTACATTCCCTGTTTCCTCCATCTATCACTTCCTCTTTCTTATTAGTTTCCTTTACTGGAGCATAACCACTAGTGCGTGCAGAGTAAATTTTCTGAGCCCTTGTATGAGTCTTTAATTCTACATTCATACTTCTAAACAGTTTACCTAGACATAAGAGCTCTATTTCCAAAAGCATTTTGGAAATAGGCACACACCACCACTCTTCTATTTGGAAATACAACTCTATGTTCTATTTCCATTGATGACTTCCTCTTTCTTATTAGTTTCCTTGGCTGGAACATAACCACTAGGGCATGAAGAGTACATTTTTCAGCCTTTGTATGAGTCTTTACTTCTACTTTCATACTTTTAAACAGTTTACCTAGACATAGAGTTCTAGTTCCAAAAGCATTTTTCCTTAGAATTCCAAAGGCCAAAGGCCTTTCTTCACAGTCTTTTAGTTTTCAGTGTTGCTAGAGAGAAGATCTTTTCATTCCTGATACTTTATATATTTGGCTTACTTTTTTCTCTTTCCAGAAGCTCCTAGGGTATGATACGTTCGGAAGTGATTCTTAATCCATTATACCCTTTCAATCTGGAGATTACATCATTTAGTTCTTGGAAAGTTCCATTTCCCCCATTTTCTCTGTCCTTTCTTTTTGGAACTCTTATTGTCAAAAATTGGACATCCTTGATTTAGCTTCAGATTTTCTTATCTTTTGCTCCTATTTTCTATTTTTGTCTTTTTATCCTACTTTCTGAGACTTTATCTTTAATTTTCAAGGAGTCTTTCTTGTTCTGTCCCTTTTTCATAACATCTTGTTCTCTTATGGACTTCTACTCTCTAAGAATACTAAATACCAATATTAAACACTAAAAACGGTCGCTTTTTTCCTCAACATTATCTTTGTTTTATTCATATTCTGTTTCATTTTTTTCTTGTTTGAATTGCCTCTCTTTATTTATTTATTTATTTTGAGACAGAGTCCACTGTCGCCCAAACTAGAGCATAGTGGCATGATCTCAGCTCACTGCAACCTCCACCTCCCCAGTTCAACTGATTCTCCTGCCTCATCCTCCATAGTAGCTGGGATTACGAGTACCTGCCACCATGCCCGGCTAATTTTTGTATTTTTAGTAGAGACAGGGTTTCACCATGTTAGCCAGGCTGGTCTTGAACTCCTGACCTCAGATGATTCACCTGCCTCAGCCTCCCAAAGTGCTGGGATTTACAGACGTGAGCCACCGCACCCAGCTGCCTCTCTTTTGTACTAGAGGCTTTCTTCAAATGCCTGCTGACCTTTGGTTGTCCATTCATAAATTGACTAGTCCATTAAAAAGTTGACTGAAAGCTCTGTGTTTGTGGATGTGGTTTGTTCGCTAATGGACTTCATAGCAGGATGATTGGTTGGGGACCTGATCACTTTGTTAGAAAACCCCCGATGTGATTACCTTGCCTTTCCACTGAGTTCAGATTGGCAGGTGCACTACAAGTCATACACATGGTGGAAACTGGATCCTGGGAGTGAGGAGACCCAGACGCTGGTTCAAGAGTACTTTTCCTGGGAGGGGGCCTTCCAACATGTGGGCAAAGCCTTCAATCAGGAAAGATCTTCAAGTGAATGTCTCTTGCCATCACCTAACTGCCTGCACCTGCTCTTCAGGGAGATGGGGGTCATTTATCTAGAGCTTTCAGCTTCTCCAGAGGTAAATCTGTATCTGCTACCAGTGTTCTTGGAACCAAGTTGGTTTAGAGATCTGACTCCATGCCACCAGTAGGTTTTCTTCAGTCTCTCTCTGTTCAGTAAAATGTTTCATGGCTTCCTTTGCTGGGCCTGGTACACCCAAGTGTAGAGCCTCTCTGGTTCAATGCTATGAGAAAAACTTCCTATTCCTTATGATGGTAGAATAAGAATACATGCTGGCTCTATGATTAGGGGTTTGAATCTGAGGATTATATAGGTTTCCAAAGAATCGTCCTGTTTTCTGCTCATTGCCCCACCTACACTTAGTTCCTCCAATTGCTGAATCTTTCCAGGATTCTGTGGGGTAAATAGGCTTGCCTCTTTTCTGTGTTCCCCTCTGTAATCAGTTAGGTTGTAGCTTTCTCTGTTAAGTCAACTACCTCTACTCTTTTTTTTCCAACTCCCCCAAATTGTTGTAAACCTTTAATTAGCTATTGTCTCCATTCCTGTTTGCTTGATCCTTGTTGAATTATTCCTTTTTTATTCCTTCTCCAGCCTTTTGTCCCTGTCAGCACATCAGAGCTGAACATAAGCCATCAGTCAAAATACAGTCTCACCTCTCTTCTCTGCCCAGCGGCTTACTTTGTGACAGCACAGAGAACCCCACCCCCTTTCTTTGTGGAACCAGCATGGTGGCTGAGACCCTGAACACATATCTTGAAAACTGGAGGGCCTTCAAGGCCCTCATCACTGCTCAGTACAGCAGGGCTCAGGTCTGCATGCTTTCCACACCACACCACTTCCACTTTGGCCAACCGCACCCCTGAATTTATCCGCAAATTTCCTGCCAGCAAGGTTCCAGCATTTGAGGGTGATAATGGATTCTGTGTGTTTGAGAGCAATGCCATTGTGTGCTATGTGAGCAATGGGGAGCTTTGGGGAGGTACTCCAGAGGCAGCAGCCCAGGTGGCGCAGTGGGTGAGCTTTGCTGATAGTGATATAATGCCCCCAGCCGGCAACTGGGTGTTCCCCACCTTGGCCACCATGCACCATAACAGGCCACTAAGAATGCAAAGGAAGAAGTGAGATGAATTCTGGGGCTGCTGGATGCTCACTTGAAGATGAGCAGTTTTCTGGTAGGTGAACAAGCGACACTGGCTGACATCACAGTTGTCTGCACCCTGTTGTGGCTCTATAAGCAGGTCCTAGAGCCTTCTTTCTGCCAGGCCTTTCCCAGTGCCAACTGCTGGTTCCTCACCTGCATTAACTAACCCCAGTTCAGGCTGTCTTGGGGGAAGTGAAACTGTGTGAGAAGATGTCCCAGTTTGATGCTAAAAAGTTTGCAGAGATCCAACCTAAAAAGGAAAGAGAAGGGCTCATGGGAAGAGAAGCAGAAGCCCCAGGCTGAGCAGAAGGAGGAGAAAAAGGCAGCTGCCCCAGCTCCTGATGAATGAATGTAAGCAGGCACTGCCTGCTGAGCCTAAGGCCAAGGAACCCTTTGCTCACCTGCCCAAGAGTACCTTAGTATTGGATGAATTTAAGTGCAAGTACTCCAATGCGGACACACTCTCCGTGGCACTGCCATATTTCTGGGAGCACTTTGTGGTTTTGTTTTTTTGTTTGTTTGTTTGTTTGATTTTTTTGAGATAGAGTCTTGCTCTGTTGCCCAGGCTAGAGTGCAGTGGCATGATCTCGGCTCACTGCAACCTCCGCCTCCCAGTTTCAAGTGATTCTCCTGCCTAAGCCTCCTGAGTAGCTGGGATTACAGGCACCAACCACCACACTCAGCTAATTTTTTGTATTTTTTTTAGTAGAGACAGGGTTTCACCATGTTAGCCAGGATGGTCTCAATCTTCTGACTTCGTGATCCACCCGCCTCGGCCTCCCAAAGTGCTGGGATTACAGGCATGAGCCACCGCGCCCGGCCTTTGGGAGCACTTTGCTAAGGACAGCTGGTCCCTGTGGTACTCAGAGTATCCCTTCCCTGAAGAACTCACTCAGACCTTCATGAGCTGCAATCTCATCACTGGAATGTTCCAGCGACTAGACAAACAGGAAGAATGCCTTCACCAGTGTCATCCTCTTTCGAACCAACAACAGCAGCTCCATTTCTGGAGTCTGAGTCTTCCGAGGCCAGGAGCTTGCCTTTCCGCTGAGTCCAGGTTGGCAGGCGCACTACGAGTCATACACGTGGCGGAAACTGGATCCTGGCAGCGAGGAGACCCAGATGCTGGTTCAAGAGTACTTTTCCTGGGAGGGGGCCTTTCAGCATGTGGGCAAAGCCTTCAGTCAGGGCAAGATATTCAAGTGAATGTCTTTTGCCATCACCTAGCTGCCTGCACCTGCTCTTCAGGGAGATGGTGGTCATTAAAGAAAACTGAACATTGGGGGGAAAAAAAGACAGTCTCAGCTGAGTGTGGTGACTCATAGCTGTAATGCCAGCACTTTGGAAGGCTGAGGCAGGGGGATCACCTGAGGTCATGAGTGCAACACCAGCCTGACCAACATGGTAAAACCTCATCTCTACTAAAAATACAATTAACCAGGTGTGGTGGCACATGCTTGTAATCCCAGCTACTTGGGAGGCTGAGGCAGGAGAATCACTTGAACCTGGGAGCCAGAGGTTTCATTGAGCAGACATCGGGCCATTGCACTCCAGCCTGGGCAATTGAGACTCTGTCTCAAAAAAAACAAAAAACAAACAAACAAACAAACACTCTTGCATTAGGAATAGAAAAAGATAACTGAAATGCAGTAGGTCCTGGTTGATTTGGAAACACTTTGGTAAGATGAATACAGTATGTTGTTTCTGTGGAAAAATTCTGATCCTTTGGAAATGTGGGATGTTGAAAAAAAAAGACTCAAGTCTCAAGGCATTGCAGCAGGACAGAAGGGAGTATCTCAGGAGAAATGACTTCTGCAGCTGGGTCTCCTACCTTTACTTATCCAGCGTAAAATATAAGGACAGGAAGAGAAAAAGCAGGACACACAGACTCAAATGCCTACCAGAGACTAGTCAATCATAAGCCAGTTATAAACTGCCAGAAATAGGATCAAATGTTATTTTAATAAAAATGTTTTAATATTAAAAGAATACAAATCAAGGGCCCGAAATGTTTTCTTCAGTACCAAGCACAAAATGACAAATGATGTAGTCAATGGACTTAATCTCTGTGGCTTTTTAAAGTCAGATTTGCTTAAATAAACAAATCAAATGTTAACGGGGCCAGGTGCAGTGGCTCATACCTGTAATCCCAGCACTTTGGGAAGCCGAGGCGGGTGGATCACTTGAGTTATGGAGTTCAAGACCAGCCTGGACAATAAGGCAAAACCCCATCTTTACTAAAATAACAAAAATTAGCCAGGTGGGGTGGTGTGTGCCTGTAGTCCCAGCTACTTGGGAGGCTGAAACAGGAGAATCACTGAACTGGGGAGGCAGAGGCTGCAGTGAGCCGAGATGGCACCACTGCACTCCAGCCTGGGCAACAGAGTGAGACTTTGTCTCAAAAAAAAAAAAAAAAAATTAATATGGACCATTACAGAGCCCTGATAAGTATAATCAGTCTACATTAATTTTCCTTTTTTTTTTTTAGATGGAGTTTCGCTCTTGTTACCCGGGCTGGAGTGCAATGGTGCGATCTCGGCTCACCACAACCTCCGCCTCCTGAGTTCAGATAATTCTCCTGCCTCAGCCTCCTGTGTAGCTGGGATTACAGGTACGCACCACCATGCCCAGCTAATTTTTTGTATTTTTTTTAGTAGAGACGGGTTTCACCATGTTGACCAGGATGGTCTCGATCTCTTGGACCTCGTGATCCACCCGCCTCAGCTTCCCAAAGTTCTGGGATTACAGGCGTGAGCCACCGCACCCGGCCTACATTAATTTTCTAAACTTACCTCCCTTTGCAAAACAAATCAATAATTGATATTATGCCTCATGAATACTATTTTCAAAAGTTCTTTGATCAGGCCAGGCATGGTGGCTCATGCCTGTAATCCCGGCACTTTGGGAGGCTGAGGCAGGTGGATCACCTGAGATTGGGAGTTTAAGACCAGCCCGACCAACAGGGAGAAACCCTGCCTCTGCTAAAAATACAAAATTAACTGGGCATGGTGGTACATGCCTGCATCCTAGCTACTCAGGAGGCTGAGGCAGTAGAATGGCTTGAACCCAGGAGACATAGGTTGTAGTGAGCCAAGATCGTGCCACTGCACTCCAGCCTGGGCAACAAGAGTGAACTCCATCTCAAAAAAAAAAAAAAAAGAGTTCTTTGGTAAAATCAAAATTATTAATATCTCAATGGTTGTGTTGGATGATTTTTATTTTTTGTGTTTTAGTCACTTGTTAGATTCACATACAACAAATTGTTTTTTCATTTAACTTGTAAGTTCTTGATCTTAGCTTAATTAGGCTGAGCAAAAGATTTGCTAGCCAGTTTAATATTTAATACTTGAAAATTCTACTTCTGTTAAGAACCCACAATTTCTGCTGCACTTAACAGTCCGACCTGTAAAAATGCAGCCTCTATAAGAGCCTTGAAACCCGGGCAATTTCATCACCTAATGCATTCCACAGAAGCACTATTCATTTAGCTGAATTAAAAACAAAGCTTAATGTTGCTTTTCATTATGTCTTTTAGTAAGATTTGGTATTTTATATTTATACATGCATTGCTTTTACTTTAAAAATTAATTTTTTAAAAAAAGCAGGAAACTAACAAATATATAAAAATGTTCTTCACCTCCACAGGGAAATATGTTTAAATCCATTTTCTTGAAACATGCCCTTTTGGTATAGCTATTGTTCTCTCCCTTTTGATTTAAAAAAAAATAGTCATAAAAAAATGTTCACTTTTCTCTTTGGGTTCTACCATACCTGCATCCAGGTGTGTTCCATTCCTATCCTTAATGCTGTGGAGTTTGGGCACTTCCTCCCGTGCTTTGCGAAAGTCATGATTGTTGATGATCAGACAATATCCCCGAGGTTTACTTTTCATTTGGTAAACTTTGTCTGAAGTCTGGAAAACAAAAACCCATTCAAGAGCTGACTCTGTGGGTCAAACACTGCAGATGAAAACAAACAACTCCCTAATAAGAGGTTAGCTTACTAACAAGCCAGCGTACTTACTAGCTTACTAGTAAACCAGATGAAGAAGCAAGTTTGCTTTCCATTGCTCCACTGCAACCTGGGGTCGTTTCCTTGAAGAACTAGTTCCTACCTATTTCCTTCACACAGTAGTACCCCTCAGACTTCTGCCCCATAGTTGTAAAGTCAGTGTCCCAACACCTGGGCCTCCTGAGCACTTTGCACACATATTAATATTGTTGTCATCATATTGTATTATTGTGTGTTCTCATTTCTGCTTCCCATACTATACAGAAGACTCCTTGAAGTCAATAACTTCTGTGCCAGGCACCATGGAGTATTAACTTGTGAGAGCTCAATCAGGAGTTACTGAAGGAATGTGTCTTTGGGCTGCCCCCACACCATGACCTTGTGATTCTCTTGCCTGTCTACTGAACTCATCTGTGCTTCCTGGCTAACAGCTGAGGGTCTCCCATTCATGCATTGCACAGTGTGTTCCCAGGATTTTAAAGCTGATGGCTTAACCAAGCTCTCAGGACCATGGTGGCTGCTGGGGAGAGATGGGCTGCTCCGGCAGGTCCAGGCTACACTGTAGGTTATAATATCCAAACTGTAGTACCTGATAGTATCTGCCAGGGATGGCCCTGCGTCCTACTCATTCTCCTAGGGCTGTTTCAGTGCTGAAATACTCAGCGTTTAGTTGGAGGTCTGCATAGCCCTCTGAGGTAGAGAAAAGGGCTCCAGGCTAGGAAGCCCAGTTCCTGGTTCTACTTCACTTTATGACTTTGGGCAAGTAACCTGATATCTTAGTATGTTAACTCTAAGATATTAAATATTTGATTAAGTTTGCACCAAGTATGTTAAGTATTTATTATTTGCTATTAAGTGTGCTAAGTATTTATTAAGCATATTAAGTATATTTACTGAGATATTAAGACACTAAGATTTGGCCAGGCACGGTGGCTGGCACCTATAATCCCAGACTTTGGGAGGCCAAGGCAGGAGGATTGCTTGAGGCCAGGAGTTCAAGACCTGGCTTAGCAATGTAGCAAGACCCCTCTCTCAATAAAACATTTAAAAAGAAAAAAGATACTAAGATATTAAGACAGTGTTTTAAGCTGTTCACTGGGGACAATGCTTGTAATGTGCGATACTGCTTAGAAAGTACTACATTGCTTGGATTAATCCTTGACTTTCAGATGAAAGAGGTCTGGTAATTTTCTCAGGAGCCCACACTAGTGAATAATCTCTCTCAAGCCTAATTCAGATATTCAGGATTTCCTCTTCTTTCTGCCATGAGGAGGAGTAAATGGGCTAATAAGTCAGGATGTGTTTGGTAGATTGTTGGTTACATAAAGAGAAGTTATTATGCCTGAAAAGGACGTTTCTGCTGGTTCACTGAGATGAAAACATAGAGTTGGCTAGATTATGAGAGTTTGCTGCTTACACCTAATCACAAAGGAGAAGCATTTTTGAAATGTTAACTAAAGGAAAAGGCTTTGCTTTTTCCAGTCCTGCTAGACTGTTTCTACAAACCCCTCCCTCATCCAGGCTGGCATGGCTGCTAGATTTGGTAGGAAGGAGCCTTCCCACCCCCTCAAACCTCCAACTATGCCAGTATCTTCATCTTGGATCTTAAAATAAAATTCAAATGCATAGAAAACTGAAGGAGTCACATTATAAAAATTATATCATATTTTTAACTTTTTTTGTGAATTTTTCTACAGTTCTCAAAATTTTCAATAAGCTTCTGCCCCTTATTGGTTTATCTGGCAGCTTAAAAAAAAAAAAAGCTAACAAATTCGATAACTAGAATCTGTAATATAAAAAGAAAAAGGATTTGGAGGTTTCCATCTACCTGTGATTCACTATCCTGTTCTCCTGGAGAGTCCGAGATTGCCATTACCCCAAACAATTCCTCCCCTGCAAACAACAAAGAGAAACATCTAGAATGAGACATTGAAATGAAATATGTAGCACCTAGGACAACATAAGGTCTTTTTTTTTTTGAGGTGGGGTCTTTTTTTTTTTTGAAACAGAATGTTGCTCTGTCGCCAGGCTGGAGTGCAGTGGCAAAATCTCGGCTCACTGCAACCTCTGCCTTCCAAGTTCAAGCCCTCCTCCTGCCTCAGCCCCCCAAGTAGCTGGGACTACAGGTGCACACCACCATACCGGCTAATTTTTGTATTTTTACTAGAGATGGGGTTTCACCATGTTGGTCAGGATGGTCTCCATCTCTTGACCTCGTGGTCCACCCACCTCAGCCTCCCAAAGTGCTAGGATTACAGGTGTGAGCCACTGTGCCTGGCCAATGTAAGGTCTTTTTTAAGATGAAAAATCAAGCCAGGCCCAGTGGCTCACACCTGTAATCCCAGCACTTTGGGAGGCCAAGGCAGGCAGATCACTTGAGGTCAGGAGTTCGAGACCAGCCTGGCCAAAATGGTGATACCTTGTCTCTACTAAAAATACAAAAGAAAATTAGCTGGGCATGGTGGCAAGCACCTGTAGTCCCAGATACTCAGGAGGTCGAGGCAGGAGAATGACTTGGACTCGGGAGGCAGAGGTTGCAGTGAGCTGAGATCATGCCACTGCACTCCAGCCTGGGCAACAGAGTGAGACTCTGTCTCAAATAAATGAGCTGAAATGAAAATTCACAGACTGTCTTGAATATAATCTTTCAACCCAGAGAGATTCTGCAAGCAGGGCAATTAGCATGCTTCTGGAAACACAAGATTAAGTTGTCCCATCGCCAAAGAGAAAAGCATACCAAGAAATGCAGTAATTTTATATTGCTCCACATAGCCAGGTTGAATTTTTGTGGTATTTGTGAGATATTCATTAATATCTCTAAAGCCACTAGCTCAGGATGAATTAATGATTAGTACTTTACTCCTTAAACTATCCTTAAGGCCTTGGGCTCATCAGGCAAGGGGGAAAGCAAAGGACAGCCTGAGTGGACATTAATTTTTAAAATACATTTGGGTGATTGAAAATGTATTTTAGACACACACACACACCACAAACAGCCAAGGTAAAAATACAATAAAAACATTCATATCAACATTAATGGAGTGATGACATTCTTGGACTTGTAAACATTTCTCTGAATTTAAAATCATCTTCAATCACTCTAATCAGAAAGCATACTTGATTAATCGCCTATAGTCCCAGCACTTTCAGAGGCCCAGGTAGGTGGGCGGCTTGAGCCCAGGAGTTCAAGACCAGCCTGGGCAACATAGCAAAACCCCATTTCTACAAGAAATACAAAAATTAGCCAGGCATGGTGGCATGTTCCTGTGGTCCCAGCTACTCAGGGGGTTGAGGCCAGAGGATTGTTTGAGTCAGGGAGGTCGAGGCTATCGTGAGCCAAGATTACACCACTGCACTCCAGCCTGGAAACAGAATGAGACACTGACTCAAAAAAAAAAAATTGATTAATCAAAATTTTGAAGGAGATCATTTAACCAAGGAACTTATGGAAAATAATTTAAATCCAGCTACTCAGTGCATAACACAAGCAGCACATGTCAGGGACAAACACACACACACACACACACACAGAAAAAATGATGTTCAATTACTTATTACTGACTAACTCTGCACCTATTTCAAACTTGCCAGCCTGGGCTGCAGAGTCTGTGCCTTGTGACAACTTTTCACATTATTCAATGTATAGAGAAGGACTACAAGTCACCAGTGAACTGTTATCCTGGTATTAGGAGAGTAGGCATGGCTAGGCGTGGTGGCTGATGCCTGTAATCCCAGCACTTTGGGAGGCCAAGGCAGGCAGATCACCTGAGGTCAGGAGTTCAAGACCAGCCTGGCCAACATGATGAAACCCAATCTCTACCAAAAATACAAAATTAGCTGGGCTTGGTGGTGCATGTCTGTAATCCCAGCTATTCAGGAGGCTGAGGCAGGACAATCGCTTGAACCTGGGAGGTGGAGGTTGCAGTAATCATGTCACTACACTCCAGCCAGGGTGACAGAGCAAGACTCAGTCTCAAAAAAAAAAAAGAGAGAGAGAGCAGTGCATGTGGTAGAAGGTTGTGGGGAGGAAACACGCAGGTACCAGAGAGTAAATTAACTAAATAAACCTTGAAAATATATCTCCAAGCATTACCATTTGAAGATTCATCTGAACTTCTTTCAAGGCTCATTCTTCTCTCTGAATTAAAAGAGGAAACCAACAACAGTACTTGATTAGAAACAACTGTGACATGGAGGGATTTGTCAGTTTCAATTTTACAGTAGGTTTTGCCGATTCCCGGCTGTCAAGTTGTTTCTACCTCTGCTGAATTCTTCATAGTCGTTGATTATCTTCAGCAGGCTCTTGTTGATTTGGTCACAGACTCTTTTCAGGACATCCAACTTTTCTTCTCCCAGGATGACCCTCTTCTCCATCTCTATGAAAATATCCAGCAGGTTCTAGGAGGAGAAGAAATAAAGTTGGGAGTCTGGATTGAGCTCCACTGGTTTTTAGATTAGATTCTTTTTAAACTTCCACTTTCTCCAACCAAGGACCTGCCCTTTCTTCCCAAGCAGACCTCCTGACAGTTTCTGCTGGCCTCTCATAGCCAGCAGGCTGCTAGGTAAGCAATCCCATGTTTTCTGGCCCAGAAAGACAGAAGTAAGAGGATAAAGGAGAAGCCATGTCAGATGTCACCCAGTCCCCAGGCCCTGAGCTCAAATCTCCTATGAATGCATTACCTGAGGACTGTGAAACAGTCCTAGACAGCAATCCAGTCACCATGGTGACAGCCTTGGGATGGCCTCACCCCCAACATTGCCTCTCCAGAACTGAGTACACAAAGACACATAGATGCAGATATCACATGAACATACACACACAGATGCACACAACACACACAGACAACATTCAGTGATACACACACAGAGACATAAATGCAAATACACACTATGCAACATGCACACAGACACACATACCACAGAGAGAACACACAGAGATACACCACTTATACAGAGACACACAAAGATACACCACGCACAAATACAGACACACACCATACACAGAGAAAGGCACACACAGACACAGAGATACACACACAGCATACAGACATACACAACACACACAGAGACACAAAACACAAACACACACACAGACACAATATACACCCAGAGTTCCAGGTCCCAGGTTATTCTGGGGACTGCAGAAGTGGGGAAATGTCTCAGATCACCACTGTCCCTCTCGCCTCTGCCGAGTCTCACTCTGGGCTGCCCCTTGCACAACAGCCTCCTCTCCCAGCCCCTGACTCAACCTTGCTACCAGTAATTAACAGGAGCAGTACTTGAGGATAAAGGAAGCACATTTGTAACACTTGTGCTGACAGCTTTCTTATTCTAGTTAAAAAGTGAGAATCCAGGTTGCTTTTACCAAAATAGCCCCTCACTTTGGTCTCAGAAATGTCCCTGGCTAACCAAGTTTCGGGACTAAATCTCAGTAAGATACCAGATCTTACCATGTCATCATCCAGTTTGCATTTGGAGATCTCCTTTTTCAAAAGAAACTTAAAAGACCTCAATTCTGATCTGCTCACATCTTCTGAAATCTGATAGAGCATGACCCTGTGGTGGGAAATGGAGACACTTTAGAAACCTTTTCCTAAGTAATGTCCCATTTGATATATGGAGTCAGAGTGGGCTTGATTCCAAAGGCCTCCCTTCAAAATAAAGCCAGTTAATGGCATGGTTTACGAGTTGAGTCCTTGGAAAGAGGCAGGTATATAGCGACACAGAAGTCTACGACTCCTCCCCAACTATCCCACCCTTAACAATTTAAAGTTCTATCAACTTTTCTTTCAGTTTATTTTAGTTAAATTAATCTTGTTTTCCTTTATTTTTTTTCTATGAAATCAAGATTTTGTTGCAACAGCAAAAAGTTTTCAAAGGACACATTGGCCTGTGGCATCGCTAACTAAAATTGGTCAGTGTTCTCCCAGTCATTACCTTCGGTAAGAAGGCCAAGCATTTGGTTCTGGAATACAAAGTCTCTGAATACATCTTTATCACAGACCAGACCACAAACACTAAAGGACCTGAAGCTCCAAACACACCCAGCTTGCCCTGCCCTCACCCCTTTCTGCTGTGCCCCCACACCCCATCCCCTTGTCTATCCGCAGACACCCATCCATGAACAACAGCTCAAGCATTGCCTGAGCATCCTCAAGGCTGCATTCATTCCACTATGACTTAGTATCCCCAGAAGGATAACACATATAATTGTCTTTTGGCCTGGTACAGTGGTTCACACCTATAATTCCAGCACATTAGGAGGCCAAGGCAAGAAGAAGATCGCTTGAGCCCAGGGGTTTGAGACCAGCCTGGGCAACATAGCAAGTTCCCATCTCTACCAAAAATGTTTAAAAATCAGCCAGGTGTGATGGCATGCACCCATGGTCCTAGCTACTCCTGAGGATGAGGTGGGAAGATCACTTGAGCCCAAGAGGTTGACACTGCAGTGAGCTGTGATCATGCCACTGCACTAAAAATAAAATAAAAATAAAAACAAAAAATAATTGTCTGTTTAGAAACTGTCCAAGTCCCTAATGGCCAGGTCCATGCCCTTTTTGTTTTCATTAACCCAGAGGGTTGTGAGGTGCAATGTTTGAGTACAGAGGACCCAGGCTATTGGTGTTGGAGCCTTGGTTCTACCATCTTTGAGCAGCGTTAACTTTAGACATGCTACACATTGTTCCTGATCCATACACTGAAGATAATTATCTGTAACCACATCATAGGAAGGTGTTGAGGATTACACAAGTAAGTTCATGTGAAGTACTGGAACCAATCTTTGACAACACACTAAGTGTTCAATGAGTGATAGGCGTTACTATTTCCTAATCTATGCCTATCACATTTATTTAGGCCGGCACATTTAGGCTCTCAGAATATGCTTGTTGAGTAAGTGAACACAGGAACATTTTAGAAGTCAGCAAACCTTTCAATATTATGGTGTAAAGGAAAACAATTGTAATACAAAACAGGTTGACTTTAAAATTTAATTAGAAAGTAAAATTCTGAAAATAAAAATGGGGTAGAGCCAGGCACAGTGGCTCATGCCTATAATCCCAGCACTTTGGGAGGCTGAAGTGGGCAGATCACCTGAGATCAGGAGTTCGAGACCAGCCTGACCAATATGGCAAAACCCCATCTCTACTAAATATACAGAAATTAGCTGGGTGCGCTGGTGGGCACCTGTAATCCTAACTACTCGGGAGGCTGAGGCAAGAGAATTGCTTCAGCCCGGGAGGTGCAAGTTGAAGTGAGCCAAGATCATGTCATTGCACTCCAACCTGGGCAACAGAGCGAGACTCTGTCTCAAAAAAAAAAAATAAAAAGACTTCACAATTCTTGTAAACCAAAGCCATCTAGCATACTGGTTGAATAGTGTCCTCCCCTCTTCCCCAAAATTCATGTCTACCTGGAATATGAGAATGTGACCTTATTTGGACAAAGGATATTTGCAGATAAAATCTGATCAAGATGAGGTCATACTGGCCAGGAGCAGTAGCTCACACTGTAATCCAGAACTTGGGAGGCCAAGGTGGGCAGATCCCATGAGCCCAGGAGTTCAAGACCAACCAGGACAACATTTCAAAACCCCATCTTTATAAAAAATACAAAAATTAGCCAGACATGGTGGCGGATGCTTGTAGTTCCAGCTACTTGGGAGACTGAGGTGGGAGGACTGGTTGAACCTGGGAGGCGGAGGTTACAGTGAGCCGAGATCGCACCACTGCACTCCTGCTTAGGTGACGTACTGAGACACTGTCTCACACACACATGCACAAAAAGATGAGGCCATACTGGATTAGAGTGGACTCTAATTCCTAATCCAGCAACTGTGTCCTCATAAGAGGGAGATTTAGACACAGAGAAGGGAACATAGGCAGAGACTGCTGTGCTGCATCTTCAAGACAAGCAGCACCAAGGACTGCCGCACCCACCCAGAGCAGGGAAAAGCACGAAACGGATTCTTCCTCGGAGCCTCTAAAAGAAAACCAACGCTGTTGACATTTTGATTTCTGACTTTAGGTCTCCAGAACTATGAGAACAAATTTTAAAAACTGTTTTAAACCTGCTAGCTTGGGTTACTTCATTACGGCAGCCCTAGGAAACTTATACACCCAAAATATCTTTTTTTTTTTTTTGAGACAGAGTTTGGCTCTTGTTGTCCAGGCTGGAGTGCAATGGCTCGATCTCAGCTCACCCAGCTAATTTTTGTAGTAGAAACAGGGTTTCCCCATGTTGGCCAGGCTAGTGTCGAACTCCTGACTTCAGGTGACCCGCCTGCCTCGGCCTCCCAAAGTGCTGGAATTACAGGCATAAGCCACCACCCCAGGCCCAGAACATCTCTTTCACCATTTAAAATCAAAATAGTAAAGCCTTGGCCAGACATGGTGGCTCACACCTTAATCACAGCACTTTGGGAGGTCAAGGCAGGTGGATGACTTGAGGTCAGGAGTTCGAGACTAGCCTGGACAACACGGTGAAACCCTGTCTCTACTAAAAATACAAAAATTAGCCAGGCGTGGTGGCATGGGCCTGTAATCCCAGCTACTTGGGAGGCTGAGGCAGGAGAATCGCTTGAACCCAGAGGTGGAGGTGCAGTGAGCCGAGATCACACAACTGCACTCCAGCCTGGGCGACACAGTGAGACTCCGTCTCAAAAGCAAAACAAAACAAAAAGTAGTCAAATCTCAGAACAATACATAGTCTCTGAGAATAGAAAGACCAGGGTGTTCATGGGCTGGGCCATCAGAGGGCAGCAGCTGTCAGCTCTGGCTGTGAGCCCTTTCCATCTCACATGCCACAGTTATCGACAAGCAAGCAGAGAAAATGAAATGGGCCCAGAGCCAAGGCTTAAGTAGAAGTTTCCCGAAAGCAGAGCTGAAATTGCTTTAAGGAGTGTCTAATAACAGGAGATGCTGAAAGGGAGAAAGTGACAATGTGTTTCTGTTTTTCAAGTCTTGTCCCAGCATCATGAAGTTGTATTTGAATGGGGTTTCTCTCTCCCACCTTTGGTTACCCATGCTCCCTAGGGTGGGGAGAAGATAAGTTTTACAGCCTTTGGCAGGATGACCCAAAGTGCCACTGTCTTCCTATAGAAGCTTAGAACTGTCATACAGCTGGGCTCACAGGAGCTAGGCAGCCTCTGTGGGGACTGCCTAGCTGTATGTGCCAGGCCAGCTGCATACAACTCTGTAAAGAACTTTGTCATTTGAGTCAATCTTGTTGAAATTTTCCATAGCCATCCACAAGCAAGTGGGAGGGGGATTTCAGGGTGGGAGGCCGTGATGCTGGACTCAGTGGATGGGCAAAGTAAGCACACAATCTGGATATCAGCAAAGCAGAGGCACCAAGATAAGAGAAGAAAAACAAAATGAGAACACTTAGAAAACTTTATTATAACTTCAGCATACCTCTAAGTAATGTTTCAGTTTGAAAAATACATTTTTATTTTATGGTCTTAGCGTTTTTCTAGAATTATACATACGGCCCTTAAATTTCTTAATCTGGCTCCACTGGGACATCTTCCCAAAGCCTCCCAAGTGATACTGAATGTGGTTTCTCTTTGTTTATCCACTCTCTCTAGGGTGGGGAGAAGCTGAATTTTACAGCCTTTGGCAGGACCACCCAAGGTACCACTGTCTTTCTGTAGAAGCCTAGAATTGTGGCACAGCCAGGCTCCCAGGCACCAGACAGGCTACCACAAAGACAAGCCCCAATCAGCCCTGCCCACAGAGACTGTCCATTCAACCCACCCTTGCAGCCCCCACATTGGGAGTTTCTACCCACCTGTAGGCAGAAATCTGAGCACTGCCCGGTGTCTGAAGTTCCCTTTCCATCTCCTCCTTGCTAGTGTGCAGATATTTATTCAACAAATCCAATCTATTAATTCGGAAAAGCAGCTCCTTCAGAAAGAACAGATTACTTTCCTCCAACATTCTCTTTTCCTGGAGTCTCTGGAATAACATCAAGGCATCCTTGATGGGTTCTTGCTTCCTTTGTGGTATGTAGTCCAGGCTCAGGAACTTGAGGGCGGCCAGTTCTTCACTTCCCAGTTCTTCCCCAATATTAAAAAGCATTTTGCTGAAGGCCATCTTTCCAAAAGGTAGGTAGATGTAATCTAAGTCAAAATATAATGGTATGTTCAGATAAGGAAGAAAAGAACCATTTGCTGGCTTGTTCATCAAAGGCTACTGCATCTACTAGATACTGGTCATTGTGCTGTGAGCACAGGAGAGAAAAAAAGAACACCAGGCAAGTTTCTGCTTACTGTGTGGGAAGGTAGATAAACAAACAAGCCAATGGTCAGAGAGGTATGCTCAGAGTGCGGTAGGGGTGCAGAGGAAGAAGACATAACTCAGCCTGGGGGAAGGGCTTCCTGTGGGGAAGGGATTGGGGGAGAATGTGAGAAAGCACAATTCTTGCAGGAAACAATTGATGTAAAAGATGGAGGTAAGAACTTTCAAGTCCATTCAGGCAGGCACGAGTAGCTCAATAAAGTAACTGCAAAGGGTCTGGGACAGAGAGTGATGGGACAAAGGGATGAAGCTCTCTTTCGGTACCATGTCACAAAGGGGCTTTATTACCGTGGGGCAGAGGGTTTAGGCTTTGTCCTGGAGGTGATGAGGAATTAAGAAAAAACTGTACAAATGAGAATGACATCACACAATTGGGGATTAACATTTAAAGTGCAAAGGATAGACTGGAAGACTTGGAGGCAGGGGACCTACTAGGACGTATTAGGAGGAGGCATTTTGGTGCTGGAGGGCAGGAGTAATGGGGTCTGATTTAAACAACAGTGGTAAGAGGACATGGGGCAGTGTGGTTCCCTAAAGGCCCAAGGACCAGAAAGGCCCAAGGACCAGCGCCTGCAGGTGGTCAGGAATGCAAGACTGGAAACTGAACCAGGTCACCCCTGACAGCCCTTTCAGCCCACAGAGTCTCTAAGTCAGGTTATGTGGTATTTTCACACAATGTTTTTAAAGGGGAGGACTGTGTTTCCACAAACCCCAGACAATTATCATGCCAGCGGCCTGAGATCTGGGGTTCCACCACCTTGACAGATTTCTACCCCACCCTCCCTGTTCTGACAGCCCCTGTCCTTGGTAAAGGAACCCTAGGAGCGGTGTTTGTGCTCCACTCTTCATAGGAACAAGACTGGGACATGGATCCCCCTGTCACAGGTGACATTCACCGTAGGGGAAGGCAGCAGTGCCGTGTTTAAGAGCCTAGATCATGCCCAGCTGTGATGCTAGCACTTTCTCAAGGTGTTAGTTTCCACCTCTGTAAAATGCGCTCATCTCTCAAAGCTGCTGTGAATATATAACACCTAGAATGCATTTAGAATAACTCCAAGCAACTAACAAATGCCAAATAAATGTTAACCTAAAAGAAGGAAAAAGCCCCTGGCTGTGGGGCATAGGCTCTTGAGCACTTCTCTCACCTCCCATTTCCTCAGTTGAAAATGTGAACATTCCATTGGAAGCGGCGGCTTTCAGACTCTTCAAAGCTGAAGAGCTCTTTGTCAAACCCTTACTCAGAAGCTCCTTCGCCCTTAAGAGTTGACCCTGGACCACTACCTTTTGAGAACCTTAAACTAAGAACCTTTCCATTCCCATCCAGCTCCATTATATTTCTATGATTCCACCAACCCTATACTCTTGGATACTTTCCTTCCCCATAAATAACCTTAACCTGTTTGGACCCATTTTCTCACCTGCAACTAGGTGGATGGGTTCTGGGTCTTTAAGCCCCTTGCATCTGCTAACATTCATAGATGAAAACACAAACCTGGATCCTGCCACTCAGAGGGAGTGGTCAAGGAAACCACGATTCATGTGTTTTCTACATCTTACTCTAAAATAAAAATACTTTCAATTTGGACATTAGAGTAAGTTTAATTTTTTTAAATTTCCATAGCTTTTGGGGGTACAAGTGGTTTTTTGGTTACATGGATGATGCTGTAGTGGTGAATTGAGTATACCCATCACCCAAGCAGTTTACACTGCACCCAATATACAGTCTTTTATCCCTCATTTCCCTTAGGCTTTGTCCTGGAGGTGATGAGAAGCTAAGAAAGACTGTAAAAATGAGAATAATGGTATCCAATTGGGAATTAATATTCAAAGTGCAAAGGATAGGCTGGAAGACTTGGAGGCAGGAGACCTACTGGGATCTATTAGGACCAACCTCCCCTCCGGCTCCACCACCAGTCCCCAAGTCCATTACCTCCTTCTGTATGTCTCTGCATCCTCATAGCTTAGCTCCCACTTTTAAGTGAGAACATATGGTATTTTGTTTTATTTTCTTTGAGATGCAGTCTTGCTTTGTCACCCAGGCTGGAGTGCAGTAGTGTAATCTCAGCCAACTGCAACCTCCTCCTCCAGGGTTCAAGAAATTCTCCTGCCTCAACCTCCCAGTAGCTGGTGTTGTGCACCACCACGCCTGGCTAATTTTTGTATTTTTGGTAGAGACGGGGTTTCACCATGTTGGCCAGGCTTTTCTTGAACTCCTGACCTCAGGTGATTCACCTGTCTTGGCCTTCCAAAGTGCTAGGATTACAGGTGTGAGCCACTGCACCCGGCCCAGTATTTGGTTTTCCATTCCTGAGTCACCACACTTAGAATAATGGCCTCTAGCTCCAAGATTAAAATATTTTTTAAATGATCCTCTTGCACCATCAGTTTTAACGCCGCTGCTCTGGCCCTGGGAACTAAAAACCTGGACGTCCACTCAAGAGACCTAATCTGAAAGTTGGTAATTTCAAAGACGACAGGAGGATACATTTACAATGACGGGAAGAAACCAGAGTAAAAAAGCTGAGAATACTCAAAGTCAGAACGCCTCTCCCTCTAAAGATGATCACAGTTCCACATCAACAATGGAACAAGGCTTGATGGAGAACGAGCGCCTCCTGATGACAGAATCACTCTTCAAGGAATGGATAATAACAAACTTTGGTGAGTTAAAAGAACATGTTGTAGCCCAACGTAAAGAAACTAGGAACTTGAAAAAAGGTTTGATGAAATCCTATTGAGAATAGACAACTTAGAGAGGAGTATGAGTGAATTAATGGAACTGAAGAATACAATACAGGAACTCCGAGAAGTATGCACAGGTTTAAACACTCGAATTGTTCAAGCAGAAGAAGGGATATCAGAGGTCAAAGTCCAACTTAATGAAATAAAACGTGAAGAAAGATTAGAGAAAAAAGGATAAAAAGGAATGAGCAAAGTCTCCAAGAAATGTGGGACTATGTGAAAAGACCAAATTTACGTTTGATAGGTGTACCTGAATGCCACGGAGAGAATGAATCCAAGCTGGAAAATACCCTTCAGGATATTATTCAGGAAAATTTTCCTAAACTAGCAAAGCAGGTCAACATTCAACCCCAGGTAATACAGAGAACACCACAAAGATATTCCTCAAGAAGAGCAACCCCAAGGCACATAATCGTTAGATTCACCAGGGTTGAAACGAAGGAGAGGATACTAAGGGCAGCCAGAGAGAAAGGTCAGATTACCCACAAAGGCAAGCTTATCAGACTTACAGCAGATCTTTCAGCAGAAACTCTACAAGCCAGAAGAGAGTGGGGGCCAATATTCAACATTCTCAAAGAACAGAACCTTCAGCCCAGAATTTCATATCCAGCCAAACTAAGCTTCACAACTGAAGGAAAAATAAAATCTTTTATGAACAAGCAAGAACTCAGAGATTTTATTACCACCAGGCCTGCTTTACAAGAGCTTCTGAAAGAAGCATTACACACAGAAAGAAACAACCAGTATTAGCCTTTCTAAAAATACACCAAAAAGTAAAGAGCACCAACATAAAGAAGAATTTACACCAACAAATGGATAAAACAGCCAGTCAACATCAAATGGCAGTAACCCTAAATTTAAATTGACTAAATTCCCAATCAAAAGACACAGCCAAAACCCAACGGCATGTTACATCCAGACCTGTTTCACATGCAAGGATACACAAAGACTCAAAACAAAGGGATGGAGAAAGATTTACCAACCAAATGGAGAGCAAAAATAAATAATAAATAAATAAAAGCAGGAGTTGCAATTCTTGTATCAGATAAAATAGATTTTAAAGCAACAAAGATATAGTGGTAAAAGGATCAATGCAACAACAAGAGCTAACGATCCTAACACCCAGATAGGAGACTTAGATTCAATGAGACAGAAAATTAATAAGGATAACAAGGACTCGAACTCAGATCCAGAACAAGTAACTTAATAAATATTTATAGAGCTCTCCACTTCAAATACACAAAATATACATTCTTGTCAATACCACATCACACCTACCCATAAGTTTAAATGAAACATTGATTGGCCATTATTAATACCCAATTTTTTTCCAAAATAAAGCAATATTTCCATTTACTCTCCCTCTTTCTCTTCCTCTCCTTTACTTACTTTTTTTTTTTTTCTTTCCTTCTTTCAAAAAAAAAGAAATCAACTTGTAAACCTCTAGATCCAGGTCGGCAATGTCTCTTTCATTGCTTGATTTCCTTTCTTCCCTTCCCTCCCTCCCTCCCTCCCTCCCTCCCCGCTTCCTTCCTTCCTTCCTTCATCCCTTCCTTCCTCCCTACCATCCTTATTCCCTTCCTTCCTGCCTTCCTCCCCCCCCCCAAAAAAAAAAAAAAAAAAAAAAAAAAAAAAAAAAAAAAAAAAAAAAAGAAAATATCCTTTCCTTCCATTCCCTGAAAGAAAATTTTTTAAAAATCTTTTCTCCCTCCTGATTACAGCAGCAGTGGTTTTTTTGTGTGGAAATGGAAACCACAGAGGCTCCCGGGACTTAAGCTTCCACTTTCTGCTGCCCTCTTTCTTCCCAAGTCCTCAGTCACTCCCTTCTCCCACCCCACTGCCACCATGTTTGCTCCCTGCGGGGAGTTGGTCCCCAGCCATATCATCATCACCCTCCTGATGGTAAATCACTCTCTCACTAGACTGGAAGCTCTGTGAGGGCAGAAACTTTTGCTGTTTTTTTTATTATTTTTTTTATTTTTGAGACAGGTTATCACTCTGTCATCCAGGCTGGAGTGCAGTGGTGAGATCTTGGCTCATTGCAACCTCCACCTCCCAGACTTGAGCCATCCTCCCACCT